CAGCGATCAATGATTCTCTCTTATCATTGATGTTTCTATCCCTCTCTCCTCTCCCTTCCTCTCTGAAATCAATGAAAACATATTAAAAAAAAAAAAGTGAAGGCCCAGCCGGCGCTCGGTGGTTGTTGAGCGTAGACCTATGAACCAGGAGGTCATGGTTTGAATCCTGGTCAGGGCTCATGATTGGGTTGCAGGCTCGATCCCCAGTGTGGGGTGTGCAGGAGGCAGCCAATCGATGATTCTCTCTTCTCATTGATGTTTCTCTCTCTCTCCCTCTCCCTTCCTCTCTGAAACCAATAAAAATATATTTTAAAAAGTAAATAAAAGGTGATGAATATTCCATTTTAGGAGTGCAGACTCCCCATCTCTCCTCTCTGCCTGGTCACCTCCTACGTGCTGCCTCATGGCCAGATGTGGCTGCCACAGCACGAGTGTCCTATCTCTACACCACCTTCTCAACAGGAAGGCAGAGGCAGGCAGGAAAAGGACAGCCATCTTTTAAAATTAATGTCTAGCCCTGGTCGGTTTGGCTCAGTGGATAGAGCGTCGGCCTGCGGACTGAAAGGTGCCAGGTTCGATTCCGGTCAAGGGCATGTACCTTGGTTGCGGGCACATCCCCGGTAGGGGGTGTGCAGAAGGCAGCTGGTGGATGTTTCTCTCTCATCGATGTTTCTAACTCTCTATCCCTCTCCCTTCCTCTCTGTAAAAAATCAATAAAATATACTTTAAATAAATAAATAAAATTAATTAATGTCTAGCCCTGGCCAGTGTGGCTCAGTGGATATAGCGTCAGCCTGTGGACTGAAGGGTCCCAGGTTTGATTTGGGTCAAGGGCACATGCCGGGTTGGGGGCTCGATCCCCAGTGGGGGGCGTGCAGGAGGCAGCCGACTGGTGATTCTCTCTCATCATTGATGTTTCTATCTCTCTCTCCCTCCCTCTCCCTTCCTCTCTGAAATCAATAAAAATATTTTTTTAAAAATAAATAAATGTCTGATATCCTTTGGTAAGAGGCTCCCTCAGCAAATTGCTCCCTAAACCTCTTTGGGCATCCCTGAGCTCCAAGAAGGTGGGAGTGAGTATGGCAGAGAGGACAGGGCTGCCCCCCCAAAAAAATCAGGGTTCACTTGGGTGGTAAGTGGGGGTGCAGGCTGTGGGGAAGCCACCAACAGGCGTGTCTCAGAGAGAAAGAGAATCGGAGAGGGGTGTGGACAAGGGACAGCACGCCAGCTGCAGGGCTGGCCAAACTGCTCCCGTGGCGGCGTGACCGGTGACAGAAAGAAACCAGCCACTCCCGGTTTCTGCCCTAAGCAGCCGTGGGCGGGCTCTGTCCTGGGACGGGGAAGAGGTGGGAAGAGCCTGCTGCTCACGGGATTGCACGTTAAGAATGTTGTATTCGACGCACAAGTGGAGGTGTCGGGCAGGCAGCTGTGCTGGGTGCCCGCACCTGCCTTCCCACCGCCCCGCCCACCTCTGCCTTGGCACTGCATCCACACCAGCCTTGGTCATGCTTGGCCACATAAGGTTGTGTAATTTTTTAAAAATATTTTTTTATTGATTTCAGAGAGGAAGGGAGAGGGAGAGAGAGAAACATCAATGAGGAGAGAGAATCATCGATCGGCTGCCTCCTGCATGCCCCACATTGGGGTGAGCCCACAACCTGGCCATGTGCCCTGAGCGGGAATCGAACCCTGACCTCCTGGTTCGCAGGTCGACGCTCCACCACAGAGCCACGCCGGCCAGGCGACGTTGTGTATTCCGTACACGTCGCACAATGACCACCTTGTCCCCTCACATGGTCACCTCCTGTTCTGCCCGGACACGGCTCCACACTTGCTCTTCGCGACTTTCAAGTTGACGCCTCGGAATGAACCATGGTCACCAGCTCAGGACGATCATCCGATCGCTGGACGTCTGTCCCCTCTGCCCAGCACCTCCCCATGTCCCCGCCCCCGCCCAGGACCACACTCTACTCTCTGCTTCTGAGTCCCGTCCTTTTAGAGCCCACGCAGGAGTGAGAGTGTGAGCTGGTCCTGCCGTCTGGACGCACCTCACCCAGCCAATGCCCCGAGGCCCATCCACAGGTCGGAACGGCAGGACCCCCGCCTGTTCCGTGGCCGTGCTCACGGGCTCGAGTCCGGGTGTCGCGACTCTGGTGTCACTCGCGTGCGGGCAGGCACGTAGGCGGTTTCCTGGTCTTGACTGTGAGGAACGCCTCAGTGAGCACAGGGCTGCAGGCATCTCTCCCAGACCCTGGTTTCATTTCCTCCAAGTAACTACGCTGAACTGAGATTGCTGGGTTCCAGGTCATTCTAATGATCATTTTTAAAAATTATATTTGTATTGATTTCAGAGAGGAAGGGAGAGGGAGAGAGAGAAACATCAATGATGAGAGAGAATCACTGATCGGCTGCCTCCTGCACGCTCCCCACTGGGGATCGAGCCCACAACCCGGGCCTGTGCCCTGACCGGGAATTGAACTGTGACTTCCTGGTTCCTGGGTCGACGCTCAGCCAGGGAGCCGCTCCGGCCGGGCTAGTTGCCCTTTTTGAGGCCCCTCCATAGCCTCCCACGGGGGCTGCGCCGTCTGCGTTCCCGCCAACAGCACCGAGGCTCCTTTCCTCCACGTCACGGTCGTCCTAACGGGCGGTGCGTGCTCACGGGGTCCGTCTGCATTTCCCGAGGGATGAGGTTTTTGAAATGAGATGCTGGTGATGACTGCGAACTGCGGGAGTGTAGTAAAAGCCACTGTGCTGTGCATTTTAAAATGGTTAAAATGGTGAATTTTGTTACGTGAATTTCACCTCAGTAAAAAAAAATCTTGAATAAAAAATGTAAATAATTTTAAAGATATTCACCCCTATCCCTCTCTGCATCAGCATGCCAGCCTCCTCTGCTCCCAGTCCTGTTCCGGCCGGCCGCCGAGCGGTCGGAGCAGAGCACACGTGACCGGCAATGCCCTGCCGCGTGTCCTCAGGGCTCCGACCGCCTGCCCCTCCGGCCGCCTCGCTTGGTCATCAGCACCAGCACTGCAGGCCACAGGTCACTCCCAGGTGCCACAGGCCGTCCCCGTACCTGGACAGCTCGGGTCACTGCCCGATCTCGGAGCGGCATCTGCGTCCCACACAGCACCCCGACATCCAGGGCTGGACCGATTCCACCACCAGAGAGGAAGCCGTGGCGGGAAGCGAGGTCTGTGCGCTCCCTCTGCTCAACCTGCACGCCGGTGGGGGCTGTGCCCTGTCCAGCCAGGGCGGCTCCACACTCGCCCTGGTCCCTTCGTCTCTCCATCCTGCCCGGCCCATCACGGCCGCTCCCCCAACTTCTCCGCGACCAGAGCAGTCCCCCAACACGCAGCGCGGACCACGCAGCCCCTTCCCGCACGCACGGCACCATCCGGGCAAGTGGACTCCGCGTGCACTCGGACTGAACGGTGTGACTGGCACAGACATAATGGCAACCCTGGGCTCCGCCCGCATTCCGGGCACGTCTGGGTGGCTGCCGGTGGGAGGCCTGTCAGGGGGGTCACCTGTCCTGCGCCCCAGGGGCAGGTGCCCTGCTGGAGCAGAGAACACGTCAGGTTAGGATCGTCCACGGCGGCCTCAGGTGTGGCCGCCGGCCTCCTGGGCCAGGTCACACACGGAAGCCCCGGGGACTTGTTGAAAATGCTTGGAATCTGACGTGACCCCTATTTGGGGGTCCCTTCACCCGACAGGCCACCCAACACCCCAAAGGTCTCAACTGAACGAGGACATCACCTGTCGGACCTGTCACACCTGCACACTTGGCCGCGGCCACTCCGCACCCTGGGCCTGGGCCGCCCACCTGGGGTGACGTGACCAAGGGCCCAGGGGGGCCCTGTGCGGGCTCCTCGCCATCGGGACAGCGTGGGCGACAGCCACACCGGCAAAGTCTGACCAAATGTGAGCTCAGCCACTTCCTGCTGAGCTCGCAGGCTCCCTGGTGGAGGCCAGCCCCGCCTGGGAAAACACGGACACGGGGACACGGGGCAGAGGCGTGGACCCTGAACAGGGTGGCCGCCCGGCAGGCAGGAGGCTCCCGCAGCTGCATCACGTTCACGCACAGATCGGATTCCAATCTGGGGCCTTACCTGCCACTGCCATCGCGTCCGTGTTTCTGTGCGGTTTGCCGTTCCCACGTTTCTCGTCTCCCCTCGGTGCCTGCGCTGGACCTGCCGCCCCGCCAACGTGCACACGCACACGCACACGCCGACACGTGCACACGCACACACACGCCGACACGTGCGCCGGCGGAAGCGCAGGTGCCGAGAAACCAGCTGGAACAGGGTCTCGTAATGAAAACCTCCTTTAAAGTTTTTCTTTTATTGATTTCATTGAAAACAGAACAAGAAATGGTCTGAGCCAAAAGACTGCTCTTAAAACTGTCAAAAACATTTAACAGAAGAAAATAAACATGACCGCGTATGAATGTTTTAGAGTCGCACAAAAACCCCACGGTTACTGCACTAGTTACAGTTTTTAAAAAAGTATATGCCAACGAAAAGGGTGACCTGCAGGCCACCACACAGAAGGCGGCGGCGAATTTATTCACTACAAGGCTAACGCTTTAAAAAGTTTCCTGCATTTTATTCTAAAATCACTTTGTTCTTTGTACAGTTGATATTTTTCACATGGTGAGTGGGAACCACACCAGGATCAGCACCGTTGTCTGTTGTGTTGTTTGTTGTCCTAATGTTCAGTGATGGTAGAAAATTAATCAGTTTATCCGTCATCAGAGCATGTGGCTGAACAACCCACACAAGGGCGGCGGCGCGCGGCGGGGCGGCTCTGTGGTGGGGCCGGAACCACCGAGCCCGGAGGGGCGGCGTGGCAGCTCGCACACAGGGCCGGGCACGCATGGACCGGGCAGTTTCTTTAAAAAGCGAACACTTTCTCCAAAGTCCACGGCGCTCGCCCGACCTCGCAGACGGGTGGGACGGGCCTGTGCAGTGTCTGCGCGGCCAGGACCTTGATGGGTGGGTCTAACGGAGCAGCTGGGTGAGGAGGTGGCGGCGGCGGGTGCCCCGCAGAGGAGTCTGGACCAGCAGGACGCTGCTCACCAGCCCACGGGTGGGAGGGACCTTGGGGAGGAGGGGAAAGGAGAATCGTGGAAACGACCAACCGCCAGAGAACAAGGCTCTGCCAGTGACCCCAGCACACAGCGCAGCGCGGCTCCTGCACAGCCGTCAGCCTGGAGGCCCTTGGCGCCAGGGCACCCTCTCTCCCTCCGTTGC